TGGTAGAACGGCGACTACCTGATCGGTATGGCGAAATGCTGTAATTAATGGGCAGACCGCATCGCATTGTCTGATATCCTTGAGAAGGTCGAGCTCGTTGAATATTCTTGACGGACTACTTGTGACGTAAATTTTCTTGATCGCAACGTATTTCGGCCGCCGTCTTTGTTGCCCATATTCGTCCAAATCCTCAAGCGCATGTGTGCCGGTCTTGCGCTTCTTCAACGGAGGTGTCGACCATTTCGTGTTTTCTTTCTCTTCAAGATCCCAATCATTCTTGTAATAGTCATACTGTAGGTCTTCGGCTTTGTAGACTGTTGAGAAAGTACCTTTGTCGCGTTAATCTTAATTCATCCATGTTGGGGAATGTACCTACCCTCTCCAATGCGATTGATTAGTCGGAACCGCTCTTTAATCCCTTTGAACGTTTCCATGAACTTGTCCATATCCTCCCGCACCGTTGGGTCGACCACCTCGTCGCTTTCATCCGAGTAATCGGAATATCCATCCTCTTGTGTATCTGCATCCTCATCTCGTGACTCGTCCATCCCATTGTCCTCCGCATCAAGATCCTCGTCTGGGTCGAATTCGTCGTGATGAATCTCGAATGGTTGTCTCGCGTTTCTAGGACGAATTGTCGCCATTTTGTCGTCGCGAAAGGCGTCGCTATAGGAGAAGTGCTAAGAAACGACCGACGAGCAATGCTTCGGTTTCTAGTAGCTTCTCAATTGGTTGTTTGGAAGCAGGTACATGGGCTTCGCGGGGTGTTGTTGCGGTTGATGAGCTAAGCTTCTTCGGGCTAAACGTCAACAAACGTCGGTCGCGTCACCCCGACCAAAACACCAAACGGCTTGCGACAACCAACTTTTCCCAAGGACAATTTGTTAATGTCTGTATACGCGCATTCTGTTATCGCGCCTCTATCGACATCATGGACACCATACAATTCGATATCAACGATGCCCTCAAGCATTATATGAGCGATCCGGCCACAGTCTCAACACCAGAAGCCGACTCGAATCTTGTTGACTGCGAAAACGACCCAGAATCATTCACCAACTCCTTGATAAATACCGTGCTGAATCCCATTGTGGACTCAGTGGCAGAGAATCCAGATGCGATAACGAGAAGCGCTTCATTTGATTCCTTACAATTTCTCCTAAAGTGCGCCCCAATTTCTCTTAAATCCAGTCAGAATTTCCCTACAGATTCAGACTCTGAACTCTTCAAACTCTTTAGATTCTCCTCTTTCCTACCTCCGCATGCTTTAAGCAAAATCTTCGACCTTGTCATATCAGGTCTTTCCACCGAAGCCGACATCATCCACCACGATCTCGAATCAGACGAACAAGAATTGATTGCGCACCACAAGCAGCTTCTGGAAGTGTTCGGTTTCCTGCTACAATGGGCTATCGCAGCAGTCGAGACGAAAGCGGCGGAGAAGTCCAGTACGGCACCAGCCGCTCGAGGTCGAGGTAAAGGAGCAAAGGCGAAAGCAGCTGCCGGAAAGGATAAAGATGGCAACTGGGATTCGTCGGCTCAACTACAAACAGCGCTTGACACAATGTGCAAAGTCCTGAAATTGAAGTTATCCAAGATTTTCCTCACAACGTCAGAGAGGGATACCTTCATCAGTCTTTTCACCAGACCAGTTTACATGGTCCTAGAAAGCGAGCAGAGAGTGAAGAACACCGCCATTAGAATGCACGCATTCAAGGTCTTGTGCATAGCAGTCAAGCATCACGGACATGGCTATGGTAAGATCTAATCGATCAATTCCGGGGAAGATTACTAACAGATTAATGTAGCTGCTCAGATTTCGATTGTACAGAACCTGACATATTTTGAGCATTTAGCGGAACCTATGGCAGAATTTCTCCACATTCTTGCGGAGCAGTACGACTATCCACAACTAGCTGACGAGATTTTGCGAGAGCTCAGCAACAAGGAGTTCAACAGCAATGATACGAGAGGACCGAAGTCGGTTTCTTCCTTCATTGTCAAGCTCTCCGAACTTGCACCAAGACTCGTCATCAAGCAAATGACAATGCTCGCGAAACAACTTGATTCCGAATCCTATGCACTGAGATGTGCTCTTATCGAAGTCTGTGGCAACCTCGTGGCGGATCTCAGCAAGCAAGAAGAGCGAGGCGACAACCACAAATCACAACTAAACGCATTTTTCGATGTTTTAGAAGAACGATTTTTAGATATCAATCCATACTGCAGATGCAGGACTATTCAAGTCTACATCAAGCTATGCGATCTCGAGCAGAAATTTCCTAAACGACGTCAAAAAGCGGCAGAGTTGGCAGCAAGAAGTCTCGAGGACAAAAGCAGCAATGTTAGAAGGAATGCTATCAAACTACTTGGGTCGTTGATCAAGACACATCCATTCAGTATCATGCACGGCTCCCAGCTTTCACTCAAAGAATGGAACGCAAGACTGGATGCTGTGGATGCCGAGCTCAACTCTTTGAAGCCTCCTGCAGAAACACCAGGTTTGGTCGATAACAAAGCTAATGAGACTGTGGATACTGCCCTTCTCGACGACGCAACACAAATGCCACCTGATTCGCCAGTAAAGCCATCGGAGATGACAGATGAACAGAAGATTGCGGCAGTCAAGAAGGCCCAGGAGGAAGCAGCAACATCTGAAGCAATCAACAAGTTGACTCTCACAAGACGATACTACGTTGAGGCTCTCAAGTTCATCGAGGTCTTGCATGGTGCCACGACGACAATTTGTCAATTGCTCGGATCGAAGAACAAGAGCGAAGTTATCGAGGCCATGGACTATTTCGAGATCGGCGATGCTTACAACATTGAGCAAAACAAGCTTGGAATCAGAAGAATGTTGCGATTGATCTGGACAAAAGGCAACAGCGACGAAGGAAAGGGTGTTCAAAATCATCTGATTGAGTGCTACAAGCGCCTCTTCTTTGAAGCCCCAGACACTTACAACGTTAACGATGCTGCTAACTACATTGCGCGAAACATGATCAGCTTGACATTTGGCGCAACTCCAGCAGAGTTGACCTCCCTGGAACAACTCCTCAGCACCATGATGAAGGCGAACCACATTTCGGAATTGGTTGTTCAGAAACTTTGGCAAGTCTATGGTGTTCAAAAGAGAGAGATCTCGAAAAGTCAACGACGAGGTTCAATTATTGTTCTTGGTATGCTTGCGACTGCGAAGCCAGAAATTGTGGTCGGCGAAATGGAAACCATGCTGCGTATTGGACTTGGAAGCCTGGGTCGTTCCGATTTACAACTTGCCAAATACACGTGTATTGCCTTGCGAAGAATAAACCCCACAGGGAGACAGGCCAAGGAGACGAATGCATCGAAGCTTCCAAACGACCATGCCATTCTCAGCAAGTTGGCTGCCATTACTGAGATTGAGTCAGACAACAAGGAATGGTATGGTGTTGCGGAGCAAGCTATCAATGCGATATACACACTCTCGAAACACCCAGATACTCTTTGCTCTGAGATTTTGAGGCGAAAGACGAGGCATGTTTTCCAGCAACGCGTTGCAAAGACTCCTGAACCAGAAGTAGCAGATGTGGTGACTCAATTATTATCACCACCGCCAGAAAAGACAATCGTAGAAGAACCGATCCAACCAAAGGAAGTGGCCGAGCCTGAGAAGAAGCTCAAGGGCTCTATCGCGTTATCGCAACTCCTGTTTATCGTTGGCCATGTCGCCATCAAGCAAATTGTCCACCTTGAGCTTTGCGAACTTGACTTTAAGCGGAGAAAGGCAGATGCAGAGAAGAACAAGCCAACTTCTGAAACACCAGCAGACAAGGCGGCCAAGGAAGCAGCTGATGACTTGGATATGATTGGCGGTACCACTGAAGACGACTTCACAGAAGCAATGACACACATTCGTGAGCGAGAACTTCTTTATGGCGAGAATTCCCTGCTAGCCAATTTTGGGCCTCTCGTTTCGGAGATCTGCTCGAACAACACCACCTACAGGGATCGAAATCTTCAAGCAGCAGCAACACTCTGCTTAGCCAAGCTCATGTGTGTCAGCTCCGAATACTGCGAGACGAACCTCCCACTTCTCATCACCATCCTCGAAAGATCCAAGGACCCAATCACTCGATCAAACGTCGTTATTGCCCTGGGAGACATGGCTGTATGCTTCAACCACCTCATCGACGAGAACACAGATTTCCTGTACCGCCGACTCAACGACAAAGATGCAAGTGTTAAGCGTACTTGCTTGATGACTCTTACATTCCTCATTCTTGCCGGTCAAGTCAAGGTCAAGGGTCAACTTGGCGAAATGGCGAAGTGTCTCGAAGATGATGATAAGCGCATTGCGGACTTGAGCAGGATGTTCTTCACTGAGCTGAGCACTAAGGACAATGCTGTTTATAATCACTTTGTGGATATGTTTAGTTTGTTGTCTGCTGAGAAGGACTTGGAGGAGGATTCGCTGAAGAGGATTATTAAATTCTTGGCGGGATTTATTGAGAAGGTACTTGCTCTACCCACCCTTCAGCCATGATCGATACATGAAGCTAACAAACAATTAGGACAAGCACGCCAAACAACTCGCCGACAAGTTGGCAGCTAGACTTGCTCGCTGCGAGACGGAGAGGCAATGGAATGACGTCGCGTACGCACTCAGTCTTCTGCAACACAAAAACGAAGAAATCACGAAGATGGTGTCGGGTGGCTTTAAGATTGTGCAGGCGAATGCTTAGTGTGTTGGAATGAGATTAAGAATGTTGTATGATATATGCATGTTATGATGGCGCCCATGGGGGGATCGTTGGATCTTATGGGCATTGCGATGGTCTGGCGTTGGGCGGTTTTGATGCTGGAGATGGGTATGGGTGGTGACTCACTAATGTCTTGATGAATACACGTACTTTCCACCTTCAAGCCCATCCCAAAAATGTGAAAAGTCCTTTCTCTTCAATTTAATCCTTTTTCCCGTTTAGTGAGTGCACAAAAATAATAAGAATTGAAGATAGTGATGCTAGGTGCCAGAATCGAACTGACGATCTTCTGTGCAATGTTGCCCGCAATTGCGACTTCACAAACAGATATCATACCACTAGACCAACCCAGCTTTCCTTTGAAGAGTGATTGCTTAATGGAAGTGGTAAAGGGATATTAGGGAAGGGTATGGGGAAGGGAGGGGGAAGGGAGAAGGGGGTGTGAAGGAGGTATTGAGTCATTAGTGTTGTGGTGGGAAGGTGCGATGGGGAAAGGGGGAAGGAGTCATTTGCACGTGATTGTGAGACGTAAGGTTGAAGCGAGGCGTAAGACCATTTGGGGGCGGAGGGCGGAGTCAGTGTATGAAAATTGTAATGTTTGCGATAGCCTAGTAGTGTTTTTGTGGTTCGTTTCGTCGAAAGGGGTTGTGAACTTCTCAAGTGCTTGGTAGAGGTGCTCAACGATCAAGGAGGCGTTAAGGGATTTCTAGCAGCAACCAAAATCGTGAAACCCGTCGTCAAGACGTAACTTGAGAAATGGCGAGACCAAAAATGCAAAAAATGAAAGTACCCGGTATCAGGATCGAACTGATGATCTTCTGTGCTCTCGTCAGAGACCCCTCAATCGACCCCATCCCAAACTAGAGAAAGGTGGAGTGCAGCGACAGGCGTACCGCCTGAAGGGCCAAGGGTGCTAGCTGTTGTGAGACAGACGTCTTACCACTAGACCAACCGGATGTTTTGTGTTTATTTTCAAAATAGTCCTTAATTGAAATTTTATATTCTTCTATGGGTGCGGTTGAGAAGGGGGGTTTTGCCGAGGTGGGCGCGAAGCGAAAATAGAAGGCATGTCCTCAAACAGAATCCGGCCGTCATCTCTCAAGCCTTGATATCTTCAACCAATAATTGTACATTCCTCTATCCCCGTGGCCTCTTAGAATTCGAATCTTTCATCAACTGATCCAACGTTTCCCCACAATCCTTCCCGCCTGAGATTAAGTCGTCCTTCAGATTTCTCGTTCGTATCAGTCGTGTGCGTTCTACCATCTCCTAGAGACAAGCGCTGGAGTATCTCGAAATGTTCAGCTCCTCTTTCGAGTTTTGTTTATCTGTTGACCGTCATATAGACCGCCGCTTTTGATCCAACTCAAACTTCTGCGCCGAAGAATACAGCTCAATCTTTACGTGAGAAGGGGCTCAAATTTCGCATCCCACCCATGAACTTCCCTTCTCTGAGATAATTCTTCTTCGGGTGACTTGAAGCTCAACTCATGCGCCAACGGCCTGTTGGAGGCAACCTCGTATTTCAACTCTTCTGACGTCAGCTCCAGGATTTGATTTGTGTCTGGTGCCTCATTTCCACTGGCTGATGAAGGTTTCGAATCGTGTGCGTTGGCCTCGTCGTCAAGCTTTCTTAGTCTAGCCAGTCTTCTCAGCGTATACAATAGGATCATTGCTATAATAACACCAACGAATGCTAGGATTCCCAAAGTAACTACTTTAATACGTCCTTCGTTCCAAAAGTTCGATTTCGTTTTTTCCGCGGGCTTCACCCCATTGAAGGGTACCGCAAAGACATAAGATGCAGTGGCGACCACGGATACTGTTGGTGCAAACATATAACTACCAATGCTGTTGGTAGCCAAAGCATTAAATCGAAAGGACTGGCTCGGAGTTACAGTGGAGGTACACTGGCCTAAAGTCCTAGGATCATGCAGAGTTGCAAATATGTAGTCTCTGCCAAGATTCATTTAGTATGACTTCAATAATCTGGATTGTTGAAACTAATACTCACGAGGGACAACATCCGATTAAAGCGTCGCTACTGCCTGCTATCAGGCTGGAAAATACGGTTGAATATGCCTGAGGGCACTTGACAGGGCCTATGCTATATGATACATATTCTGCAAGACCTTCTGCAGCAGAAGAGTATTGTCAACCAACCCACCATCTTGTGGCTTCTTGTGGTAGGCACGGTCGACCATTGTCTTGACCCGGAGCATAGGCGATATTGACGTACTCATAGGTATTATGATATTTCATCCATATTCTGTAGACTTCTCCGCATTTGCTATCTGCTAGTTGTGCGTATCTTGTTGTCACCGGAAGCCATGAAGTTTTAGTAGGAGTACTCGCGTCGCCTATGGTCGAAGTGTGAGAACTACTAGAATTGCTGGCACTTGGGTTCGATGGTGGAGAGAATGTTGGGAGTTGAGCTGATTGTACTGCGTTACTTGACATTGCATTTAAACGATGGCATCAGGGCAGGACGTATGTGTTTTTGGATTAGTTAACGAGAGCCGTGGGTCGCTAAAGAATTGAAAATTTAGTGCTCAAGAAAGTATGCACCACAAGCCCCCACGAGGAAGTTGAGCTTCAGCGGAGGAGCTTTCGACGATTGGAGAATTAGAAGTAGCTTGTATATGATTCTGGGTGAGCTGCATATGTCCAGGCTCTGTCGTGTTGGGGTGTTGAATATGGTTATACTAGAGTTATCTCATTGACACTGCGCAACCATTGATGTATACACAAATACAAGCATTCAACAAACAAGAGCGGCCCTCAATGGCAACTCACAACCAAAGAGACTGTGTATATTGCTTATCGGCAGCGTGGAAATGCACAGTACAAGCTTCTTGACAATGCATTTCCGCCGCCATACTAGAATACGCACCACAATCATTTATCGGTAGCACAAGATGTTGAAACAGCGATATGAGCTATAGGGAGGCCTCCATTTATGACATATAGTTTTCAATATTCTGGGTGGCGGAGTCTTTGTAAAGGAATTTTGGAATCCTGCTTGTAGCACCTTAATATTCACTTGCATATGACGACTTGCCGGCATGATAAGGAGCGCATGAATTTTACCGGTGTAGCGTTCTTTAAGCCGTGAACCGAAAACCCGTTTGTTCACCCGTTTGGAATATGCCGGGTAACGTGACTGTTAACGCTCGTATGATCTTACATTCGGCAGCATATCAAAGTTTCAACTAGTACTCGGTCTCGAATTTAGCCATACGTTGAACCGATATGTACTTCAGATCATTAGAATAATAATACTCAACATATCATCAGTATTCAGACTCTGATTGAAAAAGAGAGGTGGTTTGTGGTCTAGCGCAGTTTGAAGTACAAAGGACTTGCTTTCTACAGTGGAGTCGAGAGTTTAAACCCTTTTAGAAAGTAATTTGAATCCTTTGAAGTTGTTAATTCTTTTCCACAAGGGACAGAATCTGATACTCCAAGCTCATCATACAATTTTATCTCTAGCAAGGAAGTCTTTTCACGGACATTTGCTCTAAATTCCTCGACCTCTTTACCCCTCGCTGGGTTTGCTCAACACCATTGTGCGGAATGTATGGTAGTATTAATTGTGGGAGTATTCTTACCTCACTAGTTTCATATGATAGAATTAATTCTTAAGCCATATAACGAATTCATCGGAAGAGATGAGGATTTTAAATAATTACTTCGATCGCCTGTCCTCTTTCGCAGCGGGTTTATTGGCCCAATGGCTATGTTTACAAAACAATTTAGGAGAGTGAGTTGCATAGTGTTGTGAGGTACCACGAGAAGCCGACAGTAAGTACATAAGATCATGAATGTTTCCTACTTATTATATTCATTCCATAATGAGATGTTGACCACGGAAACTTCTGTTCACTTGTGGGTGTTTTGGGACCAAGTACAGCACGTTCCTTCTTTCTCGGTTGAAGTTGACAGAGCAGCGCTAGATTCAGGGAACTTCTAACTTTGAAACCTTCTTCACCTCTAACTTCATCCCACCATCAACGCCGACACTGCGAAGCGTCTCATCGATCATCATCTTATTACCGCATCATACAATGACAGCTATATCGCAGGAAATGCTCCATCGATCATATTCGCACGTTCAACCATGCATGTCCAACAAGTCACAAAGCTTCGGCATTCAGTGATGTTGCTAAACTGCCACATAAGTTACACTCAACCTTTTTTTCTCGCTGGTTCGGTTTTAGTCTGTGGACGTGAGCAGCTACCGGTTTAACCTGAGCCGAGGCTGGGCATTCCAGAGTAATAACCTGAGCATCCTGAGCATGCCCCTGAGTAGCAAAGTAGGGATCCTGTTTAGGCTCCTTAGCGACGTGTTTTAGGCCCCTTCATGGTCCGGTTACAGCTTCCCAGTCGAGTTTGCTAATGTCCATTCTAGTTAAACACAGCTTCCGTCTTTCAATTTATCACTTTGCTTGATGATTACTTCATAGACCAATGATTCGAGTCATTAATGTCTTTTCCCGAAACACTTAGGCACCTCGAGGAACTGTTTATGAAGACACATTTACTTATTAGGAGTTAGGTTAAACAATAGAAACTGTATACTGGTCATGCCCATTAAAAGCTTCGTATTCAGTCTCTGCCAGGTGTGGTAATTTCCTCTGCATGATCGTCTCAATTTCGTTTGGAACAACTGTCATGAAGGTGCCAATCCGCCGGTACTGCCCGTGGGTAGCATGTGAAGGTCTCAACACCAAGCCTTGCAGAAAAGTCCGTACCTCTACTTCTTTGTCATCGATAATATCTCTTCTAACTTCGATTTCATCTTCGATTCCTTCTCTATCATCGGTGTCACTGCCATTTTCCATGTGCGTAATCGACACTGGCATACAAAATAGCTCCGTTTCATTGCTCGATTCCGACTCTAAATCCTCGTCTGGATGGTAAGCAATTCCATCGAGCGATTCGTCAAGCAATAGTCGTAACCCCGGGAAGTAATGGACATCAGACGCCACTTCTCCTTTTAGTATTCGGCCTCTCAGCCTCAACAGCCCAGAACTGACATTACCGAAAGGATCCGTGCCTTCCAGTGCCACGTTCGCCCCAAGCACTTCCATCAATATTTCGCTATCTTCCTGGGCCCAATTGGACCAGATCGGCCCATCAATCGATGACCAACACCATGACGGCGCTCGATATATCTTACTCCGCTTCGTAACTCCTAACCCTTCCACCCTCCACAGAAGCTGTCTTTCCAGGCCCATGCGCCATAAGCCAGCCATGTAGTCGACTCCACCAAACTTTGACTGGAAGTGCTGCGCCAGACCTGCAATCGCAAACAATTTGTCCGAAGTATAGGTTAGATTACATCTGGCAA